GAAATAGACAGAGCGTGTCTTCGGCTCGAATTTTCTATCTATATAATATGCCCGGCCGTCGAGAGTCCTCACGACAGAGAGGCTCGTCTTTTTCTGGGACCATGACGAGATCGAGAGCGGGCAAGGCAACGATACTGCAGAGGCAGACAGACAGAACGCCCGGCCGTCGAAAGTCCTCACGGCGGAGATGCTCGTCTTTTCAGCGACGATTAAAGAGAGGGGGAGCGGGCACATTACCTTTCGTTGCTACTTTCTTCTGGTCTAGTTTCACTAGCTACGTATGCGCAAGCTGCCTTACTCAACCTAATACAATAACTTCTGTTACTTGCTGAAACATTCTACCTGTAGGTATATACGTAGCTATATTATCGCTGGTAATGATGATGGTTGTATATACGCGCTCCGCTCACCCAAAGAATGGCAAGCATTTCCACTAGTATGAGGAAAATTGGCGATCGGGAGCTATATAGTGGTACGAACGGCGAGGATTTTCTATACAGTAGGCGAATGCATGGCATTTTTGGCGAGCGGGAGCGAGCACACAATGACTGTATCTGCATTAGCCATCCTAGCCTATTTACACGAAGATTGGAAAGAGGCCTCTGTCAGGTATGGAAGAGCGCAGCGAATGCCAGTGAATAGACGAGAGTTGTTTCGCTGGCTAGATTTCACATCGATATGACAGCTATATACGCAGCGAGTAAAAATCCCCAATCACGCAAGCGACGCTGATACAGACGAGCCTCTCTCTGCTCAGGAGTCTCACGGCAAGATGTTCTCTTTCCCTCTCTCTTCGACGACGAAGGGCATCTTTTCTGGACTGATCCATGATTGCAAGAGTACGGAGTTACACTCGTACGACATTATGACAGGGAGGAAAATTCCGAAGCTATCGAGAATTGCTGCACAGTCCGGCGACGAGAGAGAGGCTCGCAATTCGCTGCGCTCTTCGATACCTGACCGAGGCTGTATATACCACTTTCCAATCAATCTTCGTGGTTCTAAGGTTCGAGTTGTAAATAGGCTAGGATGGCTCATGCAGATACAGTCAATATGTGCTCGTTCCCGCTCGCCAAAAATGCCGTGCATTCATTTATACGACCGTACGTCGTCCAACTGCGCATGCTCGAGGATTACGCGCTTCTTTTTATCCGAAAAGATTTCCAAATTTTCACATGCGTGCCTACGTGCGTGTGTCGTACTCTCGCAACCATGGAAGGATCAGTCCAGAGAAGATGGCCTTCGTCGTCGAGGAGAGAGGGAAAGAGAACGTCGTGCCCGTGAGACTCCTGAGCAGAGAGAGGCTCGTCTGTATCAGCGTCGCTTGCGTGATGGGGAACGCACTTATTTTCACACGCTGCCTAGCCGTCATATCGATGCGAAATCTAGCCAGCGAAAGAACTCTCGTCTATTCGCTGGGATTCGCTGCGCTCTTGAACGAGGCTGTATATACCTCTTTCCAATCTTCGTGGTTCTAAGGTTCAAGTTGTAAATAGGCTAGGATGACTCGTGCAGATACAGTCATTGTGTGCTCGCTCCCATTCGCCTACTAGTAAATTTTATATACGACGCACCGTCCGTCGTAGTTATGCGCATGTGCCGATATTACGCGCTTCAACTAATATTGGGCGGGACCTGGTGGTTCAGTTCACGTCCAGCAATAATACTGCTTCTGTTCACAGAGGTAGACAGACAGAACGCCCGGAGGTCGAAAGTCCTCACAACCGAGAGGTTAGCTCGTCTTTTTCAGTGACGATTACGAGATCTAGAGCGGCAAGACAACGATAACTGCTTCTGTTCAAAGAGGTAGACAGAGAGAACCCCCGGCCGTTGAATGTCCTCACGACAGAGAGGCTCGTCTTTTTCAGCGACGATTAAACACTGTAATAGAGCATTATAGAGGAAAACAAGTACCACTGTATGTCTGTTACGTTGACCTGAAAAAAGCATTCGACTCTGTGAACCACTCGCTTCTCTGGGTGAAGCTGCACAACTAGGTATAAGCAAGCAATTGCTTACCTTGTTGCAATATATGTATGCTAATGCAAAGTCATGTGTGAAAATTTCAAGGGGTAAAACTACAGCAGGTTTTCCCTGCCAGAAAGGTGTTAGACAAGGGTGCAACTTGAGCCCACTGTTGTTTAACTTGTTTACTAGTGACCTAGAGCTGGAATTGGGAATAAACAATGCTGGGGTTGAGATGTTCAACACCCCTTTAGACCTACTCATGTTTGCAGATGACATTATATTGCTATCCCAAAGTGCAGCAGGCCTTCAAAAACATCTTAAGTCTCTACAGTCATTTTGCCAGAAATGGAAACTTGAGGTAAATGGTAAATACAGAAAAAACAAACATATGAAGAAGCAGGTATCAGGGGCCATTTCTTTGGAAAGACTTTCATCTTGAAACAGTACAGACATATTGTTACCTTGGTGTCTGGTTCTCAAAAAATGGTAAATTCAATAAGGCAAGACAACACATTTCCCAACAAGCACAAAAGGCTTCTTTTCCACTGTTACACCTATATTCAAGTCTGAAACAGCACCAGTCCCGGTATGCTCAAACTCTATGAGATATTTATGGTACCAATCATGTGTTATGGATGTAAGATCAGGGTTTTGAAGAAGATAAAGACATTAAAAAAGTAGAATTATTGATACTAAAGTATATTCTTAATGTTCCGGTCTCAAAACCAACCATGGCAGTCCGAGGAGAATTAGGACAACTTCCCTTCATCTGTGGTGGAAAGAAGACTGTTGAAATATTGGACAGACTTGTTCAGAGACATCCCACTTATACTAAAAGATGCAGCAAATCTCTCCATTCACATTGCAGCTAATAGAATAAATAATTGGGTGGGGGAGATTTTGTCGCTATTCAACCAGACAGGTTTTACATCAGAATTTGATGGATGTGAGCCTTTCCTAAGGAATCAACTAATGTGCACAATGAGAGATCAGTTCCTACAAAAATGGAATGAATATCTACAAAGAGAACACAGTGAGAGAGGCTCAGGAGGGAATAAATTGCGGACCTACAACATATTATATTCGAATTGGAACCTTACCTTCTAATTATCCATCAACCTAAATATCGCGCAGCCATGGCAAGATTACGAACCAGCTCACATTCACTGGAAATTGAGGTAGGAAGGTTCCATAAGCCCAGGCCTTTCCCTGTAACAGATCGACTATGTACAGTCTGTGACACAATCGGAGATGAATATCACTTTTTGTGTGTGTGTCCACAATATTCATCAAAGAGGCAACAAATGGAAACAACTGTAGAAAATCACTTCCCTTTCTATCGTTTTATGTCCCAGGAACAGAAGTTTATATTTTTACTCAGCCATACACACCCGCAAGTGAACCACTCCGTATCCTCATTTATTTATCATTCTTTCATCATGCACGATAGTAGGTGACCAGTGAGCCACCCTGGCTCTTTAGTGGTCGTTAAAATTATTATTATTATTATTATTGAAAGAGGCAGTCGGCACACAGAGTACGTGTGATTGTCGTCATCTTCCTAGGTTTGGTGCGCATACCCACGCTCGACTGCGTGGGTTAGTTGGATCGGCACACAAGCACGTGTGCGTTCATCTTTCTCCATCGATTGTTTCTGGTGCGTATACCCACGCACTACTGCGTGGTTACGAGGTGGATCAGCACACGCGCAGGTGTGTGTGTGCGTCACTTCTCTTTCCTGGTATCATCTACGTTAGAGAGCAATGTAGAGCGATAGACGCCTGAGGAAGGTATCTGCAGCGGGTGCTCATTTGTGGGAGCTATAATACGAAGGCCGAGAGGAAGGCAGTTGTTTTGCCATTCTACAATTTATACACGAAGTCGTTTTTCTGGTGCACCTACCCATGCACAACTGCGTGGGTTATCATCTCATTTTTCGAGTGTTCGTTCGTCTCACAAAGGATACCACCTACTGAACGGGAAATGAAGGTCAGAAATTTCGAACAGTTTTCGCTGAAAACGCTCCTTTGCAAAGCTAGAGCGCGAAAAAGCCAATATGCAAATACTCAACGGCTTACTACGGCATGATCGATCCGCGTGCTCTGTGTACCTCGGAGGCACCAGAAGATGCAACGCAGGGCCTCTCGCATGCTATCTAGTATAATGTAGTTAGCCCGCGTCAGACTCTGCGCGAGCTGGCAAGAGACCACAAGTAACAGCTAAAACTAAACCCAGCCCATCAATTAGTGGCACGGCGCATGCGTTTACTTACGCGTGCGCGTAACCGTGCGCCGAGGGTTTGCACTTCAGTGCTTTTCATTGAAAGAGGCAGTCGGCATACATATACATAAATACATTCATACACGTAAACACACCACACACATAGCTGGTCACATGTGTGATTCAATTAAATGTGGGTGTAGCAAAATGAAGGGTTTCCAATAATGTGAGGACCATAAACCCGCTATCTCCTTACCAGAACCAGTTCAAGCACTGATTTTTTTCACTGAAGGTCTTCAATTTCGCCGGAGGTGTGCACGGACATCAAGCGATCGTTTCTTTCTTGCCGCTAGTGACTACGGTAGATCATGGAGCTCTTCTATGGTCGACACTAAACAACGCCATTTGCTGCTAACTCAGCATCAGTGAGCCGCGCGCATGCGCAAGGCAGGGGCGTTGTCCAATGCGCTTGCGAGCGTATTACCAGGCGAGTTGGCAGACCTGCAGAGGAACTCTCAGCCTCCAGTACCTTCTGTAAGTGAGTGTGCACATTTCCAACTGGCTAGCTTGCTGTTGATTTGCACGAAGAGCAACTTGGCAGAGTCTGAGCGGTGTTACGCGAGCCTTGCGGGGCGCTCAGTCAAATGGGCCTTCATTGTTTGTCCCCCCAGGTTGTAGCCTGATTACCAAAGCCTGCCCATGAAACCGCAACCATGTGCAATAATCTAATTACATCCTTTTTGAAGACAATACATGCGGTATCTAGCCCCTGCTTCAGGCCCACATTAGCTACTACTTTCAACAGTTACTATTTGTCTATGGTAGCCTATCTACAACATGCCCATGAACATCAGAGTGACTGTAATAATAAACGCAGTGTTGTCATAAGCTGTTAAAAATAGTGGAAACAAGTGGAAAATCATTTCTTCAAAATGAAAGGGGGATATAGGGATGGCTTGAAGCACCAAAAAGGAAGAAACAAGGGGTCATTACGCAGCAAAGTTGCACAAAGCTACATGACACCATCCCTATATCTTTGTTTTATTGTTTATTGTTTATAAGCAAAGTTTAATATCGAACAAAGATATAGGGATGGTGTCATGTAGCTTTGTGCAACTTTGCTGCGTAATGACCCCTTGTTTCTTCCTTTTTGGTGCTTCAAGCCATCCCTATATCCCCTTTCATTTTGAAGAAATGATTTTTCCACTTGTATACCTCTCAGCCGGTAGTTGTCTGGCTCAATCTGAATCTCATTGATAAACAATGTGATGGTGGTTGGTTGCGACCTTCAAACGCACAAGTAAACTCAGAACCATCTCCTTCCACCACTGCTAGCTAGTGACCATGGGCACACCTTAGGCTCTGGAGGCTTGTAATGGGCTAGCCACGTGATCTGAACATTTGTCCATTATCTCTATGACTATTTCTTAGGTAACAAGTGTACATTAGACTTTCAACAACTGTGTATCACTGCAACATTAATTCTACGACAGCACTGTGCTATGAAACTCATGTTCATGATGATCATACCCCAACCATAGAAACCCATCCGCTCACACTATATATGAGAAGGTTGCAGTAATACAGCCAGGACCTGCCATGTTCTCCACGGTATGTAGACCCGAAGCACTTAAAACAGTCAGTAATTTCGCCACTGCAATAGTCAGTACTTCGTGCCACTACAAACAATTTCACAGGTGGCCACATCCAAATAAAAGTTTTAGCAGCCACCCGAACATGTGAACACCACCTGTTGATTAATTCTGTTCGCACAGGCCTATAAACAGGAGTCACTGAGAGACTTCTACCTGGAGAATTTTAGCTATACAGTGGGTCCCACTTAATATATATCATTATATGCCGTTTAATAGAATATCCCGTTTATTATCGTACAAACCTGAAATCCAAAACCATTTCCTATGCTTTCCCATACATTTTACTCCGTTTTATAGAATACGGATAATGTCATATCCCACCTATTACCATAGAAAAATTGGGCAATTTTGGTTCTTGCCCGCAAATTGTCATTATGCACATGCGTAATTAGACGTTCTACAACCTTGGGCTGGAATTTTGTAACTCTCCATTCTCCACCCCGCTGCTATTAGCTTATGTAAACAGCTAGGCTAGCCTAGCTTGATTAGCTTAGCTAAACAAACAGCATTGTGCGCTATCTGGGTCAAAGTATATTATGTTGGTATACATAGTATATTATATACACACCCGCAGTATACACAGTATACACTCCCGCATTGTAGAATATCCCGCATATTATCATATGTTTTGGATGCACTCTGTGGGTATGACATTAACTAGGACCCACTGTATATATACCACATACAGTTACAGTGCAGTCAAAGCAACGTTTGCTGTGACTTTACCTCAGCAGTACCATGTAAGCTTTTTTGCAAGCCTCATCAATAGATACTCCACATGCTTCTAGCCATCTAATTGCTGTCACTTTTTCATTTTTTATAAGTGAGAAAAGAGCTGTGATCCTTGTCAACAAGTTTGTTAATAAGAATCGCAGCCTTTATTTTGCTGCTGCTCATACTGCATCCTCCCCTGCCACTCCTTCCTCTTTTACACACCTGTAGCTATACAGACATACATGGGGTAGCTATGTATATTAATGCCAATTTATGTACGTGAGAAGGAAAGAACCTTCATGTCAGAAGTCTGCCATCTGCTTGGATTAACTGACTATCATGTTTGGCTGGGTGCCAATGGTCACCAGCATAGAGCACCAGTTTTGTTTAATAGGTTAGATAACAAGATATTTTGCAGGCAATGGAGGGAAATTTGAGGCTGACAGAGGGTCTCTTCCATCTGTCACCAACTGACACTCAGGTTGATGTATTGCATGAAGATAACATGGCCAGTTTCTCACCCAACCCAATCCCATTATGATACAGGTGGGGCCCCACGTGAACTTCCGTTTGTTGCCTTCGGCGTAACTATTATATACAACTGGTCATTTTGCTACCATTCAATATAAAGCTAGCTGTAACGATGAACAAAATGTGTGGGACTTGGAAACTCTTTCTCTGCTAATGATTATTGTGTTTGGTATCTCTACAAACTACACCTTCTGTTCTTTTTAAGCAACACTAGATTGCATCTTCTTAAACGACCAACAGAGAGAGGAGAACTGTGATGATGACTGTGCCTTTTAGTATTCTGGTAGTAGCAGCTGCAGATGAGGCTGTTACAGAAAAGAAGTTAAAAAGTCGAGTTTGGCAGTAACATAGCTAGCAGTTTGACCGCTGCTTATGAGTAATCTTAGAGGATTGTTAATATAATGTACGCGCTAGCTCTCAACTGCACTTAATTACCAGAGGTAGTCACACTGACTGATGCTGAACAGTATTATACTCACATTGTTCAATCTTGGTTGTTATCTTGTGAGCAACGTCAACACCGGAGCCATAAGCACCATGTACATAACCGTACTGGGTCTGATTAAAACTGTCTCCTGCAAAGTAGAGTCTATCGACAGGGATCAGGAGTTTGTCGATAATGTCTTCCGGAACTCCCAATTCAAATAGTATCCAGGAACAGCGGACGAATGGATCACTACTCCAGTTCGATACGACAGCATTCTGAGGTTCAGGTATGTCGTTCCCGTAGATTTTTCTGAGTATGACCATTACTTCTTCCACCGTTGTACTGACTGGTTGATTTTCCACCTTGATGGCTAAGTCTTCGGTCACCCCTAATAGTATTGTGTTTGGGCTGTTTTTGTCCAGAGTAAAGTGTGGATACTCCCCACGTTCATTGGAAGCATAATGAATTATCTGTTGGTCTTCATCAGTTTCGTTCCAAAAGGTTGTGCTGAATATGAGGCTAATCATTGCATAATGAACAAGTGTAACTGAATTAATCGCATTTTGCTTTGCTGCAGGTAATGGAGGCTCGAAATGTACAGCGTCTTTCTCCTCTCGGATAGCAGCTTGCAGGACACCACTACTGAATGTTGTTATGGCATAGTCTCCGCAGTATTTTCCTCCGTCTTCCACTGTAGCACACACACAGTCCTTGGCAGTCTGTATGGTGGTAACTGGTGTGTTTAGCTTCACACCATCTAGGAATCCACGTGCCATACACTGAACAACAAACGCGTAGCCCTTATCGTCGGCTATCAAGTAGTCTTCCCCTTCCGCGTCTTCCTCTGGGCCTAGAAATGCGGTGTAAGCGTCCGTGTAGTAAAACTTCACCGAAAGATTTTTTGGACTAGCGGCTGCGCAGCTGTAGTCAACAACCACCCATTCTGCCAGGTCTTCTAGGGCACTAGACGGTACCCAGTTTTGCATCGTGAGCCCCTCTCTCAGGGTAATGTCAATGTCAAGACTGTCTGCCAACTCCTCGACATTCTCGAAGGCCGTCACGAACCTCTCCAGTATATCTTCGTAGTCGGTGATGTTGAGGGGCGAGCCGTCCGCGGCAAAGACTGCAGTGACGTCGGGATTGACGCTCCCGTCGGGCCCGTCCTCGTCGCACCTCATCGACTCTCGCCAGATCGGGTGGTGCGGTCTGTCGTACAGGTCCAGTCCGTGGATCCAGTTGGCGCCCGTTTCGATGCCCGTTTCGCGGTCCTCTCTGATGCGACCTCCGATGCGATCATTGGCCTCCAGGACCAAAAAGTCGTCTATACCGTTAACCTCAAGGGTCCTTGCCGCGGCGATACCGGCTATTCCACCACCCAGAACAAGAACATCCACTTTCGTAGCCTCCCCATTAGGGTCCAGACTGCACAAGTTGGAGACTGCAGGATGAAACAGGAGGAGCGCGACGGCGCACACAAAAACAGCATTTTGACTGGCTCTGGTTTCTTCAGACTCTCAATATATTGGCCGTCCTTCGTATACTGCGCATGAGCGCGAGCATAAGTGGCGAAGGACAGTTCAATTTATGCAGCCCAGTGTCTCGATAGACAAACGTTCAATTCTGGCTCATTATAGCGCATGCTGGTGCAGCAGGGGTGCCATTGGTGTTAGTCAATAGTTGGACAAAAAAATCCGAAAGGTTGACGCAGATATGGCGCACGCGCAACAGAGTAGTTATAGGCGAATGGTGGGCGAGCGGGAGCGAACAAACAATCTACCTGCACAAGCCATCCTACAACTTGCACCTTGGAACGGTCAGGCATCGAGCGAATGCCTTCAAATGAGGTGAGTGATAAGATTTTTTCCGTCCAGCTATTGACTAACACCAATAGCACCTTCGCTGCACAAGCATGCCCTACACGGGGTTATAATGAGTCAGAGTTGTCGAGACACTTGGTCTGGATTCAACTGACGAACGAGGCTACAATTGAGCAGTCCTCAGCCATTCCGCGCTCATGCGCAGTCTACGAAGGACGGGCAATAAATATTATTGCAAGTCTGAAGAAACCAGAGCCAGTCAAAATGCTGGTTTTTGTGTGCGCCGTCGTGCTCCTTCTGCTTGATCCTGCCGTCTCCAACTTGTGCAGTCTGGACCCTGATGGGGCAGGCTACGAAAGTGGATGTTCTTGTTCTGGGTGGTGGAATAGCCGGTATCGCCGCGGCAAGGACCCTTGAGGTTAACGGTATAGACGACTTTTTGGTCCTGGAGGCCAATGATCGCATCGGAGGTCGCATCAGAGAGGACCGCAACACGGGCATCGAAACGGGCGCTCACTGGATCCACGGACTGGACCCCTACGACAGACCGCACCACCCGATCTGGCGGGAGTGGATGAGCTGCGACGAGGACGGGCCCGACGGGAGCGTCAATCCCGACGTCACTGCAGTCTTTGCCGCGGACGGCTCGCCCCTCAACGTCACCGGCTACCAAGAGATACTGGAGAGGTTCGTGACGGCCTGCGAGAATATCGAAGTGTTGGCCGACACTCTGGGCATAGACATCTCCCTGAGAGAGGGGCTCATGATGCTTACACCGCATTTCTAGGGCCAGATGAAGACGCCGAGGGGGAAGACTACTTGATAGCCGACGATAAAGGGCTACGCGTTTGTTGTTCAGTGTATGGCACGTGGATTCCTAGATCGTGTGAAGCTAAACACGCCAGTTACCACCATACAGACTGCCAAGGAATGTGTGTGTGCTACAGTTGAAGACGGAGGAAAATACTGCGGAGACTATGCCATAACAACATTCAGTATAGGTGTCCTGCAAGCAGCTATCCGAGAGGAGGAAGACGCTGTACATTTCGAGCCTCCACTACCTGCAGCAAAGCAGAATGCGATTAATTCAGTTACAGTTGTTCATTACACAAAGATTAGCCTCATATTCAACACAACCTTTTGGAACGAAACTGATGAAGACCAACAGATAATTCATTATGCTTCCAATGAACGTGGGGATTATCCACACTTTACTCTGGACAAAAACAGTCCAAACACAATACTAGTAGAGGTGACCGAAGACTTAGCCATCAAGGTGGATAATCAACCAGTCAGTACAACTGTGGAAGAAGTGATGGTCATACTCAGAAAGATCTACGGGAACGACATACCTGAGCCTCAGAATGCAGTCGTATCGAACTGGAGTAATGATCCATTTGTCCGCTGTTCCTGGACAGTATTTGATGTGGGAGTACCAGAAGACATTGTCGACCAGCTCCTGAGCCCTGTTCACAAACTCTACTTTGCTGGAGACAGTCTGAATCGGACCCAGTATGGTTATGTACATGGTGCTTATGGCTCTGGTGCTGACATTGCTCACAAGATAACAAGCGAGATTAAAAAATGTGAGTATATATACTTTTCAGCATCAGTTAGTGTGACTACATCTAGTGATTAAGTGTGGTAGAGAGCTAGCACATACATTAAAATAACAATCCTCTAAGAATCCCCTCACCCACTCTTACTTCCAAGCAGCAGTCACATAGAAAATGCTAGCAATGTTACTGGCAAACATGACTTTAACTTAATTCTTTTCTGTAACAGCCTCGTCTGCAGCTACCACTTCAGGAATACTAAAAGGCACAGTCATCATGACAGTTCTCCTCTCTGCATTGGTCATCTGAAAAATAAAGATAATGTATGCTTGAAACAAAGACAGTTATTCATCGTTACGACTAGCATAATGCTTACAAATTATGTGTATAATAGTTATGATTAAAATTAACTGATAACATATTTGGAAGTTCACGTCCGGCACCTCGTGCACCTGCATCATAATGGAAGTGGATTGGGTGGAAACTGAGACTATGTTGTCTCCATGCAGTTCACATCCTCCTCATGACCAAAACATCAACCCCAGTGTTATTTGCTGACAGATGAAAGAGACCCTCTATCAGCCTGCGACCACCCTCTATTACCTTTTATAGAGTAGCAACTGAGAAATATCTGCTATCTACAAGACTCTTGTCTACAAAGCTAACAGGTGATGCTGGTGACCATTGCACCCAGCCAAACAGGTCAATCCAAGCAGATGGCGGACTTCTCAAACAAAGCTGCTTGCCTTCTCACATACGTAAAATGGCATTGGTACCCCATGCATGTGTGTATAGTGGGAAGTGACAGGGGAGGAGGAAGTGTGACCAGCAGCAAAATACAGGCTGTTAACGAATTTGTGTACAAGGATCACAGCTCTTTACTATTAAACCTTGCACATAGACAGTCAAAAAAATTGGCTTTCAAAGGTGATTTTACTACCAATTGCTATAGCTACTAAACGCAGAGTATGTTCACATGTTCGGGGTAGCTGCTAAAACTTATTTGGACGTGGCCACTTGTGACATGAAGTACTGACGGTTGAAGTGGCGAAGTATACTGATTGTTCTAAGTGCTATGAGTGTACCATGGAGAATGTGGCTGGCTCTGGCTCTGCGACCTTGCTTCTTGTGTAATGTGTAAATGGAAGAATTTCTATGGCTGGGGTAGCTATACTACGACAGCACTATGCTATGAAACGCATGTTCATGATGATATCGTCATGAACATGCGTTTCATAGCATAGTGCTGTCATAGATTTATTGTTGCTGTGATACACAGTTGTTGAAAGTCTAATGTACACTTGTTACCTAAGAAGTAGCCTATAGAGATGATGCAGGACAACATTTCAGCTCTGCACCATGGCTATATTGCCCATGTTTTGATACAGTGCCTGCAGAGCCTAAGGTGTGCCCATGGTCACTAGCTAGCAGTGGTGGAAGGAGATGGTGCTGAGTTTACTTGTGTGTATGATGGTCATCAGATTGAGTCAGACAACTACCGGCTGAGAGGCATGCAAGACAGCAATGGAAAGATGCTAAGGAGTAATCAATTAGGGGGCTTGCTCTGCACCACTGAACCTGTCACAGCCAGTGGCTACAACCCTATAATTATTTGATGCCCCAGATTTCCCTCATGGTATACAACTATGATATTGTGTGAAAGACTTGGTCAAGGGCAAGCCCATCAGCTATGGTTTCTCCATGACTATAATTATCGAAAGAGAGTACATTATAACAACTTCATGGACATAATCGCCAGCTTAAAAGTATATACCAACCTCAAAACATTCAATTAAAAAATGTAAGTATAATACTTTTCAGCATCAGTCAGTGCAGTGTTATATTTTCGTGATGGTTTAGTACGAGTGCAATCTACCAAAAGCAATCCTTTGCAATATCCCATATCTCACTATACCCTACCCATATGCTCCTCATTTTTGCACCGTTTAGCCAATTTACCAAACTTACTTTTGGGATAGATGACTCTGGTTCAGGCCCTATTCCCAGCTAGCTATGCAGACACCCTAAACTCAGTTCTATACATAATGAAACTGAAACTTTTAATGACAGGCATCGATCGAGGAGCAAAGATATTTTTGCGAGCTTTGACATTACTTTTCTTCGCAATATCGGGCTCCACTTTTTACTCGGACTATATAACAAAAAAGGCTCTTCACTGCTGAATGCGATATTAATTAGAGCGTTTTGTAATGGAAAATGACGGTGTTGGAAGAACAAGCATGGCAGAAGGGTTCAAAGTTGGCTGCTATATATAATTATACAGAGAACCAAAATTAATGCGGAGAAAGCCATAATAAATGGCTCACCATGTAAACTTGCCTCGCTTGCCAGTTAACTTTAATGCAGTGTTAGTGTTTCTTAGCGGTGTCCACTATATATCAACAAGTCCTTCCACCCACACACCGTCAAGCTTCAAGTGTACATGCTGTCTGCTATCTTTGTTGTCCAGGAAACAGATTGCTATTGCGCATAAGTTACCTAAATGACGACAAAATTAATTTTTGCCTGGGCTTTCCCTTGTGACCATGTGTGATGTTCCCAATAGGGTGCAAGTCATTCTCCCCGGCGTTTTGTACGTGGATCACGTGAGATTTGACCCCGCCATCCCCATATTAGAGAGTCTCTAGGGATGACGCGGGTGAAATCTCACGTGATCCGCATACAAAACAACTAAAAACTCGGTGAGAATCACTCCCTAGACCTTCAAAACATACTAGCAATAGTCTACGGGCCCATATCTACCTATACATGTCCCCCAAGACCTCATACGCACCTTCAGTCGTCCACGAGAGAATTCGCTCTGACGCGATTTCACGATTTTCGATATAGAGTGTCTACCGACGCTTCAAGAGTCCCCTAGGGTTTTTCCATTGCTGCATTGCATATACCTCTCAGCCAGGTATTTGTCAGGCTGAATCTGAATCTCATTGTGAAACAATGTGATGGTGGTGGTTGCTTGACCATCATACACACAAGTGAACTCAGCACCATCCCCTTCTAGCTACTGACAATGGGCACACCTTGTGCTCTGGAGGCACTGTATCAAAACATGGGCTAGCCACGTGTACAAAGCTGAACACATTATTTTTTGTCGCTCATCTCTATGGCTCCTTCTTAGGTGTCAACATTTAACAAGTGTATATACATAAGACAACTGCGTATATCACAGCAACCATGCTATGAAACACATGTTCATGTTCCATAGAAATTCTCCCACTTACACAAGAAGCAAGGTCGCAGAGCCAGAGCCAGCCACATTTTCCACGTGACTCTCGTAGCACTTAGAACAATCGGTACTTCACCACTGCAACAGTCAGTAGCTACTTCGCCACTGCCAGCAATGTCAACTGCGACAGCCTCATCCCAACTACGGTATTAGCAGCCCCCCTGACTAGCTGAACATGTGAATATCCCTTCTTAAGTTCTCAACAGGTGTGACTGACAGAGAAACTCTGTAATAGTAGCTATTATTCACACTTTAACGTTTGCTGTGACTCTACCACAGAAGCACCATGTGCTAGCTATATAGCCTTATCATAATGGGTACAGAATTACCTCACAACTAAATTTAAGACTTTGTACCACTGTAATCTGCCATAGCTACTCCTAGCTACTTTGTTGTGTAATGACCTCTTGCTTCTTCCTTGGTTTTGATAATGAACGAGTATTATGATGGTCTCACTCTGTGCATTATATAATATTCCATGAACAAATATTTAAAGAGCTGTGATTTTTGTCAAACAGATTTTGTGGACAAGAATCACAGCCATTACTGTTCATACTTCCTCTACCCCCTGCCACTCCTTCCTCTTTCACACACATGTACACACATGCATGGGGTATCAATGCCAATTTACGCGCATCTGAGAAGGCAAGCACCTGTGTTTGAGAAGTCCGCCAACTGCTTGGATAACCTGACTGTCATGTTTGGCTGGTGAAGTTGTCACCAGCATGAGCATCTGTTGCTTTGTACACAAGAGTTGAGTAAGATAGAAGAGTGGCAGCTCTAAAAGGCAATAGAGGGTGTCCACAGGCTGCTGATAGTGGGTCTTTTCCATCTGTCAGCATATGATACTGGGGTTGGCGTTTTTGTAAAATGAAGGAGGGTGAATTGCTTAGAGACACCATTACAACTGATCATATGAAAAGCACTAAAGTGCAAACCCTCGGCGGTAAACTAGCGAGTTGTAGCATCGACGGAGCTAGTAACACGAGTCTCACCGTAACACAGGGTAGTTGCATTAGCGGTTAGAGCAATAGCTCAGGTGTTTCAGAGGCTCTCATATTTGCTTTATTCAATCTATCCGCTCTTCTGTGTTTCAATGCTCTCGCCAGACGTTTTTATAGATGGGAAGGCAAGGCCGCAACACAAACTGCTCGCTACCTGAACTACATTGCGAACATACCTTGCTCAGCATGTTTATCGTTTATCCATAGGGAACAGAGATCAAAACAGAGATCAAAACTGACAGAGGGCCGTGGATCCTTCAACCAACGTGGCGTAGCGCCTGCTCCGGCGATTAATTGACATGACGCATGCGCGCTCTATATAGCTATATATGCTGCACGAGAGGGCGCGTGCACAATCGCGACCGCGCGTTGGCTTTTTCGCTTGTTTTCACGCTATATCTCTGGAACGCAGTCGTTTCGGGAAAATCGCCACATTAATATCAATCTTCTCGTCGTTCACAACCCGTTGGTGCCACTCATTGGCCGCCTCGTCGCCTGTAGTGCTAGAACTCGCGCGGACACGACGGACAGAACGACTACTGTAACCCTCGCTGCGCATGCGCGCCGAGGGTTAAATATTGTTAGCTAGCATTAGCTAGCTGTAATGATAAATGAATAGAAGACTGCGAGCTAACGATTTTTCATTTTGGTGTCTCTACAAACTAAAACTTGTTTTCAAGCAACACTATAGACACTATCTTCTCATAGGACCAACAGAGGGAGGAGAACTGTCATGATGACTGTGCCTCTTAGAATTCCGGTAGTAGCAGCTGCAGAAGAGGCTGTTACAGAAAAGAAATTAACCACAAAATAGTCACACATTCACTAACTAATGCTGAAGAGTATTATACTTACATCGTTCAATCTTGGTTATTATCTAGTGAGCAATGTCTGCTCCGGAGCCATAAGCACCATGTACATAACCGTATTGGGTCTGATTAATGCCCTCTCCAGCTAAGTAGAGTCTGTCGACAGAGATATGTCGCTCCCGTAGATATTTCTTAGTATGACCATCACTTCTTCCACCGTTGTACTGACTGGTTGATTTTCCACCTTGATGGCTAAGTCTTCGGTCACCCCTAGTAGTATTGTGTTTGGATCCAGAGTAAAGTGTGTATACTCCCCACGTTCATTGGAAGCATAATGAATTATTTGTTGGTCTTCATCAGTTTCGTTCCAAAAGGCTATGCGGAATATGAGGCTAATCTTTGGATAATGAACAAGTGTAACGCATTTTGCTTTGCTGCGGTAGTGGAGGCTCGAAATGTACAGTGTCTCCCTCCTCTCGGATAGCTGCTTGCAGGACACCACTACTGAAAGTAGTTATGGCATAGTCTCCGCAGTATTTTCCTCCGTCTTTCCACTGTAGCACACACACAGTCCTTGGCAGTCTGTATGGTGGTAACTGGCGTGTTTAGCTTCACACGATCCTTGAATCCACGTGCCATACACTGAACAACAAACGCGTAGCCCTTATCGTCGGCTATCGAGTAGTCTTCCCCCTCCGCGTCTTCCTCTAGGCCGGTGTAAGCGTCCGTGTAGTAAAACTTCACCGAAAGATTATTTGGACTAACGGCTGCGCAGTAGTCAACAACCACCCATTCTGCCAGGTCTTCTAGGGCACTAGACGGTACCCAGTTTTGCATCGTGAGCCCCTCTCTCAGGGTAATGTCAATGTCAAGGTTGTCGGCCAACTCCTCGACATTCTCGAAGGCTGTCACGAACCTCTCCAGTAGCTATCTCTTCGTAGTCGGTGATGTTGAGGGGCGAGCCGTCCGCGGCAAAGACTGCGGTGACGTCGGGATTGGCGCTCCCGTCGGGCCCGTCCTCGTCGCACCTCATCCACTCCCGCCAGATCGGGTGGTGCGGTCTGTCGTACAGGTCCAGTCCGTGGATCCAGTTAGCGCCCGTTTCGGTGCCCGTTTCGCGGTGGTCTCTGATGTGACCTCCGATGCGATCATTGGCCTCCAGGACCAAGAAGTCGTCTATACCGCCTCAAGGGTCCTTGCCGCGGCGATACCGGCTATTCCACCACCCAGAACAAGAACACCGACTTTCGTAGCCTCGCCATTAGGGTTCAGACTGCACAAATTGGAGACTGCAGGATCAAGCAGAAGGAGCGCGACGGCGCACACAAGAAACAGCATTTTGACAGGATCTGATTTGCAATAGCTAATTGGCGAGCGAAGCGAGCCCACAAATTCGTTTCAGTGCGGGGATTTATGTGATGGGCACTGCACAGGTACTGCACATACAATGCTGCTCGCGCATATTGGGTAGACTGCGCATGCGGAGAGCTGGACACTACTGGGCATGCGCAACAGAAGCCACGCACTCTTCCCTGCGGGGTATAGCAAGTTCACTGAAACTCACTATAGCTTTTGAACAAAGTGTCTTTTAGACAGTTATGGCAGTGGTTAAACTGAACAACAACACATACATTCCGAGTGTTGGATTTGGAACTTTTCATAGACAGAGATCCCGGGAAGCTGTGCAAGCAGAAGTATGTTGCGCTTTGAAGGTATGTTATAGCAATAGTTTTTCGCGACATAAGGTTATTAATAGTCACTACTAAGTGCCCAAGTTTGTCTGTGCCAATCTACAAAGAAAACCTGAACTTACTTTTCAAAATAGGCTGCATGGTTTTGTACACCTTGACTGCGCTTATTCGTATGGAAACGAAAAAGATGTCGGTGACGTTCTTGAGCAGTTTTTCAAGGATGCAAAGTTGAAGAGAGAGGAGTTGTTTATTTCTTCTAAGCTGTGGAGCTCATTTCATGCAAAAGATGATGTTATTAAAGCCTGCCAAGAATCAATTTCCAATCTGAAAGTTGATTACCTCGATCTCTACATTCTCCATTGGCCAATAACAATTGCATCTGGTCATAATAACCTTTTTTGCTCTGATGATGTAAAGTTGGGCTACAACCGAGAAAGAATAGCAGAGTGCTGGAGAGCAATGGAAGATTTAGTTGAGAAAGGCCTCGTTAAAGCCATTGGCACCTCAAATATTTCAATCACTAAAATGGAGAGATTGCTGCAGACGGCAAGGATTATCCCAGCAGTTAACCAAGTGGAGTGCCATGCCTACCTTCAGCAGGAGAAACTGGTCCAGTACGGCAGGTCTAAAGGCATAGCGGTGGCAGCCTACAGGAGTCTTGGAATTCCCAACCCTGGGATGGAGATGCCCGTTCTCCTGGAGGATCCGGTGGTCTGTCATATTGCACAGAAGCATTTCGTGACACCTGCACAAGTAATTTACATATTAGTCTAACTTAATTCAGGTCGATTATACCGGCACAAAGTAATAATGGTTCTGACTTGAATGGCTTTCAATTATGCAGGCACCAGGCCTCAGATATTAACAAATAATTAAAATACAAGGCCCTTGACAAGCTATATGTAAATGCAGGTGTTGCTGGCATTTGGAATTGCTAGTGGGTTAGCTACTTGTTCTCACAAAAACCAAGAGTGAGGCGAGAATGAAGGAGATCCTTGCAGCTCAAACTTTGGCTCTGGACTCCACTGACATGACTAAGCTGAGAGGACTGGAGAGGAACCTACGCTACGTGTCTGGCCAGTTTATGCTGAGAGCAGAAGAGAGCACAGATGATCTGTGGGACACTGACAAAGATAGGGCATTTCAGTTGGGATATTGAGAGATATGGTGTTCAGGGATGAGTAAAGCATAGTTTTTTTTATAGCTATCAGCAGATACACTATTAGAGAATGTGTACTATTGTTATGTACAGTATTTGACTTTTCAAGTAAAACTCAATGTTCGGTTGGAATGACCATGTGTACGACTGTGATAGTTGCATACGGCATGCACGTTGGCGAGTTATAAATCTAACACATAATGGGTGTGCCATTTCTCTTCAGCTTCAAGCAGTTCTGGGCCAGTCCAGCTTTGTTATAATATGTCAGGTGCATTTTTAACAACTCCCATCTGCAATGTCTGCCATAAAATTGCTAATAACTTGTGAAAAACGACAAGGTGTTATGACATTCTCCACTTGAGTAATGAATAATTATTTGTGGAAATTTGTGGACAAGACTTTCTTCCTTCCTGCCATAGTTGAAAGTTCATTGCGATAATAGAGTTGCTTTTATGATACGGTTTTAGCTATAATATTATAGCCAGTCTGCATTTTCTGAAGCTTAAAATATAATGTAGTTCATGCTTAGAGTCGCAAATGGTGGCAATGTGTGCTGCTGTTTGGTAGGAATTGTGCCTGGAAATGTGTAAGGCATGTTCTTCCTAAGGTATCGAAGTGCACAATATAAAAGTGGTGTGTGGGATCATGTCGAAAAGGTGCTGGACAATAGAAGTAAGGTCAGTCATTCAGAACAGGGATACTTGTTCTAAAGGCTTTTTGACTAATGTTGGTGACAGTATTGATAAGAGGGTGAGAGAAACGTTTGAAAGAGTAAACCAAATTTGTCACTCAATCTAAGAAGGTTGGTAAAGTTCAAAGAATAATATTCAAGTTAAGATCATTAGTAAAATGCAAAGCTGATTAGGCATAGAGGGAGCTAACAAATGCCTAAGTGCCTATTGAAAAGTACAGGTTCATGAAAGGGTACTAGTTATAGCTTTACCTGCAACATGCTACCAACCATTTGTCACGGTTGTAATACAGGCAGCTAATGAGCTACAGCTAGTAGCTAGCACCCAAAGTGAGTTTTAGCTACATGACAACCTGTACTTTCAATTGAAATTGTGCTGAAAATGAGCTGTGAGTGCTTTGCACAATGTTAAAGCTAAGTCCAAGCCATTGGGGCGCTGTGAATCCAACCCTCCCCCCTTCTCTCGGCTTTGTTTTGTTTTGTCTGTCTTTGCTGTAAAGTCTGTGCACAGCACCCGACTTTTTTGAATGCATAATAAAGCTTCAGGCTTACGCACTAACTGGACAACTGGTGCCTGTCTTACCTCCCAGACAACCCAAACCTTCCACCAGCGACACTCTGCTGCTCCCCAGACACAATCTGAGACTGGGACTGTTGAGCATCACCATAATATGAACCTAACGCCATAATGAAAAGCACTAATTGAAAGTGCATAACCGCCACTGTTGATTATGGAGGTTCAATAGTTGACTCTCTCAGAGAATATCAGAGACCGTTCTTCCTTTAATTGGCGAGCGGGAGCGAGCCAACCTAGTCGTTCGTTCGAGTGGATTTTCCTATTTATTTTACGTCCGTCCGTCAGTTCGTCGTGTAAGTGAGCATGCGCGGCTTCTTTAAATCCCACAATCTGATTGATCCTAGCGCGGACTATTTTCCGGACTCTAAATCCGGACTCAAATTTTTTCTGCATGCGCAATGGTTCACTTACGTTGGGCGGAGTCCCCCAGCGGTCTGCGAAGGTACTTGTAGAGTCGAGCCCGTTGTGGACGTCCTCCCTGTGCTCCTCGCTCGACTTCCCAGCGAGAAAGCAGCGCTCTTTCGCCGTTTCAGATGCACCGAATTTGAATTGCGCGCACGCGTTGCCATAAAGTTAGACGCCTCGTGGAAACTACGCGCATTAGAGCGCCTTTGGGGGCACTTAGTAGCGTCCTCGCAGCGCTCAAACGCCGACAGCCCAGGACCCCCACGGCTCTCTAATGCGCGTAGTTTCTTGGACTCGGCATCTAACTTACATTTCACACACACTGCCTCGCGATAAGCGCCGATCGATCTAGCCAGCGAGAGAACTCTCCTCCATTCGACAGCATGCGATGCAACCTTCGGTGACCGAAGCTGTATATACCTCTACAATAACAGTTGTGAATACAAAACAACCTGAAACTACAAATGCACTACCTTCCCCTGCAAGTCAACTAAGAAATTGTTCCTCAGGCTTGTACCTAATATCTGCTCACATTTGGATCAAGTTACCTCTTGATATAAGATCATTGACACTCTCCCATTTTTTCAAATCCTCCTTGAAGGAATGGCTGAATATTTAATTATTAATTTTCATACACCATGTATATATTAGCTTTTGGCTATTGTGTATGATGAAAAAAAACCTTCATGGTTGGAAGGTGCAACTTGGAAATAAGCTAGGATTGCTCGTGCAGATACTGCTGCATGCCAGCCGCCACGACTCTCATTTGCTGCTAACTAAGCAAGCAGTTCCAAGTTCCAAAGTTCATGTTATGAGCCCAAGAGGGATACAACGATTATGCATACAGAAAAATATAAGCATATATAAATGACGTGAACATGAGAAGAGATTAGAGAGAATTGGAGAGGGTAGTGGCAATCGTGAGGATGTTTTCGTGAAAACCTCCTTCAATGGTTTCCAGAACTCCCGCGACAGATATGTCACTGTTGCAATGGTCTGAGCTCACGTGCTCGAAGTACGAAGTGCTCTGGTGGATGATGTTGTTGCAGATGGGACATTCTCGCTTTCCAAACACTGGTCTGCACATTAGACTCAGTAGATGTTGAGTTAAACGAGTTCCACGAACTCCGTGATCTAAGGTGATGTCCCATAGCTTGCACCATGAGGAGGCAATTCGAGGGTCCGCAATGTGCTTAGTTGACTGGTGACACTTGGCCATCTCTAGCACAATTTCCCAGTCCCTTGAAATCAGAGCTTCTTTTGCTTCTTGCAGTACTAATTGAGCATTTCCAGGGTCATTAAGGTAAGGTAATGATGTACCAAACTCACTTTCAAGTAGCTGACATTGCTCGACCAGACTGATCTTACTGACATCCTCTGAGGCAAGTGTACGGAAAATACGAGAGCTGAGGTTGTCGCTGGTAGATTGGAGAAGCTTCACTAGATAAGTTAACTTCCTTAGAAGGATGCAAACTCTCATTCTTGCCCAGTGCAGAGCAATGATAACAGCCAAGTATGAGTAAAATTGGGGTAGTCGTAAAATGCGTCTACCGATCTCTGCCTGAAACTTCTCCACAGTAGTTAATAAGGATTCGGTGAGTATCCAGTTTTCACAGCCGTAGAGGAGTATCGGCAGCACAAAAGTGGAGAAGAGGCTACGCCCAGAGAGTGGGTTTAGGGCACCCTGGTAGGCACCGATAGAACCCAGGGCAAAGAAAGCCTTACGAGCTTTGCTGATATTCTCTTCACTGGTGTGAAGTTGGTATGCCACCAGTATCCAAGGCATTTAGCTGTCTGCTGAGTAGAGATAGACTGGTCAGTCAGTTGGATTTCTTCAGAGCTGAAAGCACAGGCAGAGAACTTGATTAGTTATGTCTTGGCTGCATTCACCTTCAAAGCGTTGTCCAGTGCAAATTGTTCAATTGTCTTCCCCTGCTTCTGCAAATCGGTAATTGACTTGCTGGTGGAGCGGATATCATCAGCATGGGCAGCAGAACTTATGGTAAGCCCGTTGATGGAGAGGCCCAACCCACTGATGTGGAGACGGTGTAGGAGGAAGTCCATCACGACAAGGAATAACAGGGGAGACAGGACGGATCCTTGTCGTACACCTCGATGAACACGAAAAGGGTGGGAGAGAGTGCCGCCATGCTTAACAACGCTCTCTGGATTTGTGTACCAGCTCCTAATGAGTCTCCAGCATTTCCCCTTGATTCCACGCTTGAATAGGTGTGATAGGAGAGTTGGAAATTCAAAGGCCTTTTCAAGATCATATAGGCAGAGGTAAGCACTATCGCCCTCCCTCACGAACTTGAGCAAGGCCTCCTGGGTAGAGAATATTGCATCTGCCCACGATACAGATCGCTGGTATGCTGTTTGTGACGAGTGGGGACAGCCTGTTTCTTTAAGTGGCATTTCCATACGATGTAGCAATATCTTTTCCAAGCACTTCGAGATGACGGAGGTTAGGGTGATCCCCCTGTACTGTTTGGATCAAGTGGATTACGACCCTTCCCCTTGTACACTGGAATGATCACCCCTAGTTTCAGACTAGGTGGAATGGATTCGAGGCAGAGGATGGCAGCAAAGATCCGCAGAAGCCAGACATGGATGATATACCCACCGTACTTGAGATGTTCTGGATCAAGGTCATCAGCACCCCCAGATTTGCCTGACTTTAGAGACTTTACTGCCGTTGCAACCTCATCCATGGTGATGTCAGTGTCAAAAGTAAAATCTTCGTACAAGCGAGAGCAAGCCTCGAGGTTTGGTAGCTCGGACTCCTGCTGCTTCACTGAGGGATGGTCATTTGCTTGAGATTGACTGAGGGAGTCAAAATAGGATACCCACACTTGAAGCAGATCAGTTGCGTTGGTTGCGGTGACACCGTCAGCTTGTAGCTTATGACAAGTGGACTGTTTCTTTGGCACATGGAAGCAGCCACTTTCATTGTTTCTGAGCATGGTGTCTCTCTGTTGTAAACGCTTGCGTTCGTGGCGGCACGACAGGTGTTTACGTACTGCTTCACAGCATGCTTCTTGTGTTTCATGTCAGCATAGAGAACGCCGGATTTAGGGCGCCGGCGTTTCGCCACCGTCTCCATGCCTCCTTACTATCACGACACATTTCTTCAGAGAGTTGCA